TAAAAAACTTTCTGCGTGATCGAGTGACGAGTACTAACCAGATAATAATGATTCCTCATCTTCAAATAAAATATCAGAATCCATTGAGAATATTCCTATTAACAATGATGATAATCAGAATGAAGAAAATTTTCACAAAAAGTGATCAATTTTTGTGAAAATGTTCGGAATGATTATAATAAATTAGACTATCGTTACATTATCATAGTAGATATAGAACATCAAAACTTGCAGACATGCAAGTAGTTTTATATTTTATCATTACTAATATACAAGATGGTCCAGTTTTCTACTATTAATGTACATGTCCATGCTTTTCGGGAAGCTTTAAGTACTTGCCCACGTTTCATCAGTGTTATGGTTTCTTGGAAATGCAAGGTACCAGAATAATTAGATTTCCAACAATACATCTACTAAATAGCATCGATGATTCTGTAGACCGATTATTACCAGAAAATATCCGATTTCGGTCCTATACTAGAAGAAAATTAATTTATACCGCCATCTCGTATTTGCACTTAATACTTAACCATTAACGTTTTGATTCGGTTACGTCAGTCATTTGGTAATTTACCTTTAGTTCAGGCTGTTCCTTCATTAATTTAATATTTGACTTTGTTCTTCTCCTATACACTTGTGATTTTTCCAAGTTATAAGAACATTTATAACAATGTCAAAACAAGTGGAAACTCTACGTACATGCGTGCCAAGCTTGATGCCAAAAAATATTTACCAAAAGTTTAATAATCTCTTGACAGAAATCAGTAAGATATAATTGGTGGGTGGATAGTTGGGTGGAACTCAAGATGGTGAATTCTGGGTTGATCTAATATTCAAAACAGGTCTTATTATCTTATAGCTGCCATAAACCCTTTGAATTTTGAATCAGAGTGCACAGAGCTATTTTTTAAATTTCTAACCCCAAGAACTATGCTAAATATTTAAATTTTCACTAATTTTTGACCTCCCCTATTATACAATCAATGGAATTGACCTACAGGGGATATCGCACTTAAAATTAAATGTATTGAAGCTTTACCTCATGGGTGGCACTAAAAGGAGCTCCCAATCTGATTTAAATATATATTAAAGAGGCACTTATGGCAATGTTCAAGACAAATAAACATGTAATCCGATCACGATTAATATCTCTAGATCTTACTTAGACTTACCGTAAAATGAACCTTTTTGTAATAGCACAATGTATGACCCTGTATGTGGATTAAAAAATATTTTTAGTGAACAAGTTGTAACTTACAAGGCAATTATTTTCTAGTCTTTGGCAACAATTTCAACATTTTTAATTTTTCATCTTGCCCATTCAACCGCAATCACCCTGTAAGTATGAAATTTTTTTGTCTGCCTCCAAATAGTAAAAAATGGTATATTCCTAATCCAACGCAGTGTGTCAAAATATTTTCGGAATTTCTCTTGAACATATCTACTTATAGTACAATACTCTACAGGTCATAAACCCAATTACAGAGCAGATTGACAGAATATAATTATTAATAAATCACAGATTTTTTTATATGAATGTTAAGCACATAAAAAGAACTTGTATTTCGTAATAGGTAACAAATGAACAAATTAACTAAGATAAAAAGTGAGATTTTATATCTGACAAATTGCAACTAAATAAATCAAGTTCATTGACAATAGAATTTGTCACTGTACACATGGTATGGAGCGGAGAATTTTCCAGAACATTTGTGCGAGATGTATTTATATAAAAAGTATTCGGATGTCTGGAAGAAATTCTGGGAATGCAAATATTAAACTTTCCTAATAAGTTTGGGTAGTCAATAATACTTTTAATAATTTTATAAGTTACTGCTATACTATAATAATAATCACGCCTTCTTTCGAGACTGAAAAAGTTATGCTTTTGTAGTAATTCAGAGTGAGGTATACCTATTAGAAGATAAATGTCATCAATTTTCAGGCTTAGCAGTTTTAAAAATCGTCTTTGAATTGATTCTATTCGATCTATCTGATACTGATAAAAGGGGCTCCACACAACTGAAGCATATTCTAATTTTGATCTTATAAAAGCATAAAATAGTTTTTAAGGTAGAGGTTTCTTTAAAATCATTACTGCTACGTGCAATTAATCCATACATGCGATAAGAGGGGGATACAACATTATCAATGTGCTTATTAAAGTGCAGTGTCAAACGTGACACCACGATCAGTTAATGTTTTCGGTCGCTCAAGGCAATGTTTTCTATTGAATAATTAAAGATTAGGATATTCGTTTTTAAACTGTAGGACATAACTTTACTTTTATCCAGGTTTAGTAACAAATTATTTTGATAACACCATTCAACAACCCGTGTTAAGTTTGCTGAGATGTCTGATATGTTCTCGCAATCACCTATCTTCTCCACGAGGCAGTATAGTTTTAGATCATCGGCATAGAAAAGGAAATTTACATTTATAACATCTGTAATATCATTAATGAACATAATAAAAAGGAGGGGTCTCAGATTCGACCCTTGTGGAACACCGGAAGCACTATATTCAGCAGACCTAAAACAATTGAGCTGGACACATTGGTTTCGATCCCTTAGATAGGATTGAAACAGTGAAATTAAAGGGGCAGATAATCCAAAAGCTACAAGTTTGTTGAGCAGAATGTCATGATCAAGTCTGTCGAAGGCCTTAGAGAAGTCTGTGTAAATAACATCAGTTTGGGCTTTGTTGTCAATTAATAGATTCAGCAATATATTGGGTAACGGTCAGAAGGTTGGTGACTGTTGAACGACTTTTCACGAAATCATGTTAATTTATACTTATATTACAACTTACATGACGACATATAACTCGCTCTAGCGGGATTTAAAAATCTTTTGCAAAGTTGCATATAATAGAGATAGGTCGATAATTTGAAATATCTCGTCTATGTCCTTTCTTGAAAATGGGACAGACCTTTCAGGATTTCCAGATCCCTGGTATTGTAGCCGATTTTAAACAAATATTAATTAGTATGGAGAGAGGACGAGCAAGCAGAGAAAAATAATCTTTTAGGACAAAAGTTGGAATATCGTCTGATCCGGTGGTGATCTTAGTGCCTCATATACTTCCTTTTCACTGAAGCTTGTAATATTTAAAAAGTGATTATTAATATTTGTCCCAGAATTGGGTTGAAAAGGGGAACAAATAGTATAGGACTGTTTAAAAAGATTTGAAAAACCGTTTAGAATATTAGAAGGCCCCTCCAGCATTTGTCCTTCAAAATTCAATACTCTTGATATTTTGGAACTACCTCGTTTACTATTTATAAATGCCCAAAATTTGTTGGGGTTGTTATGTATTTCTTCCTCAGTTTTGCCTAAACCTTTTTTGTATGTAACATCAAACATCATGCTCTATTTTCGCCCAAAGGTGTTTAAAATCCTCAAAGGCCTGTAAATTACTTTTACGCTTGTATTTGCGCCAAATTCTACTTTTAGCCTGTAAATCTTTAATAATGGTACCATTGTACCAAGGAGGATATCTATTTTTGGATTTAAGTGTATACTTGGGACAGCAACAATCGAAAACATTATAAAGCATGCCATAGAAATATGTGGATGCATCTTCTGAATTATGAAAAGCTTCCAAGAAGGTTCAGTCAATAAGAGATATTTGTTCATACATTTGTGGAAAGTTGGTTCTTTTGAAGTTATAACTTTTCTGAAAACAGGATTGCAATTTAATTTTGAAGCTAGCTTTTATCTCTAGTATACAAGTAATATCCAAAGCAAGATGATGTCGCGATCTTTGGTTACAAATGGATCCAGTGATTTCTCCACATGACATTCTCTATTAAAAAAAAACAGGTCTAAGAGTCTATTAAGGTTATTAAATACAAAATTATTTTGAGAAAGATCAAAAATTTGTGAAAAATTATTAAGAGTAGTGATTTCCCTATTAGTTGCACCATAATCCAGATAGCATAGTCGCCCACATTAAAGTCTCCTACAACGAGAACTGCATTATTATGTAATATATGCAACAATGCCAGGGCTTCAAAAAGTTGTTCAAACTCAGTTAGTGGAGGTCTGTAAATATTTAACAAATAAATATTAAGTTGTATATAGAAAACTAGTCATAGGATCCAATTTTACCAATAAGAATTTCGAAAAAGTACATCGAGAACTATACAAATATTAAATATTCAGAGCCTTTGACTTTGATATATATTTTCTTTTTTCGGTATTTCAGCTATTTTTGTTCGGTAGAAATACCTACTTTGACCGAAAATGATCTGCGGAATCATGAATCACCCTGTAAGTGACAATATTTTGATTATAGTAGTTAAGTATGTATGTTGACTACACAAAATGAGCGAATAACTTCCAAAAAAATTAAGGTTGATTTTTGGTGTTCATTTTAAAGAATTCGTCGTCAACAAGACGAACAGGCGTATCTCAAAATTAAGAGATTTGAATAATTACAGTTTAAAGATTTTTATTAACTTCAATTTGGATTTTTTTACCTTTAAAAGTTGCTTAAAACATGTTAATAACATAAAATGTTGTGTCAATGCCAATATATAATGTATATAAATTCTGAAAACGCCTTTTGATGGACCTAACTCAAATTCTGGAATTTTTGAGATACGCTCCTCATGTTAGCGACGAATTAGGGATTTCTAACTTCAACACCCTGTGTCACAAAATCTATAGCCATATAGGTAAATAATATTTGGATTCGTTTTAAATTCAAAAATATTTAGTTTGTGAAATGGGCCAAAAAAGTAATTTATTGTACCTGACTACTAATAACCAAGACTGATTAAATATGCCTTTCATATAAATTATTTGAAATTGAGGATATCAATTAATTTTAAATATTGAAAGATTTAGGTTAAAATTACTTTTTTGAAAAATTTTGAAGAATTTCGTCCTTAAAAAAATTAACGGATAATTTTAACTAACTTTATTAGTTGAGGATCAAAATTGAGAAAAAATAAAACATCCCAACAATTCAAATATTTAAATATATATTTTTAATTATACAGAAAGTCAAATGAGGAATTTTAAAAATTTATATGTTTCCAAAACTGATGGTCTTCTGCAGATTGCAATAAATTATCTATATCCATTTGATAACAAATACTATCAGAGGGGGACAGTATCTAAGTACATAATTGGCTTCTTTAAACTACAATTGGTGATAACATTGGTACTATTATTATTATTAATTCCATGTGATTGAACACAATCAATTACTTCTAGCGATTTATCAAAACAAATTCGTATTTCACTGATCATCGATTCTCTTGTGTGTGAATCAAAAACACATTCAATCATGGGATTATGTTTTGTTACGGCTTTAACTGCATTGGCTATTTGTTCTACATGGTACCCATTTTGCCCTGGAGTAATTTTACTTTGTGTTAACATATCTGCAATATTTTGGGCCTTGTTCCATTCTAAAGCTAAAACATAAATACAAATATTTTATGTAAGGATTTAGTAAATTCTGAGTTTGGATAGTTTAGCCCGTTCTACCATTCACATTCAAAAACCTAATTCCGAACATGAGATCATAAAATCACTCAGTGAATTTGATGCGAGAAGTCAGTTAAAAGATCGACGAGAAGCCGCCGTCAGACACCCACAAAATACATACAGGCTAGTACATTTAACGCAATTACTACTCACAAAAATCCGACAGTATTAGTGCACTCATTGTAAAAAAAAGGTCATGTCGAATCAAATTGTTGGTATTAAAAAAAACATTTGTGTGATATCTGAATTCGACACATTATGCGGTGAGCAAGCTCAGTCGTTAAAATACTTTTTCGGTGACAGGTCAATAATTAAATAATCCGTGGTAAAAACATTAAAAAGAACGACCAGGATAGCTGACGAAAATGAACGTGTTTTTTTGAGACTTGGTACTTAAGTTGTTTAGAATATTGGTATTTGTTATTTTGCCGATCATCGCACGTTAGAGGTCATTCCAAATAGTGTGATTCCAGAAGATATTGATATTATTATTGGATGCAACGTTATATGCCGACCTTGTTTACGTGTTGAGAAAAATGCCAACGGGATTGAGTTACATCAAGACCTGCTCAACATCCCGAAAGTATTTACAATAAAAAATTTACTTAATCAATTAGAATTAAGACACATTAGTTCCATCAGTCCCTTGGCTGATGTACTTGAAATTGTGAAAATAAAAGAGCTAACCAACAAAAAAAATGAAACAGTACAAACATTTTTTAAAAATGGATCAAAATAGTTTACTAAGGACCAATTCCACCGTTGTGTTAAACGAAGTTTAAAATGACATTGTTAATGTAAAAATGTCATTTTAAACTTCGTTTAATAACATAACGGTGGAATCGGTCCTAAAAAAAGGTATAGGAAAGAATAAATAAGCGGAAACAATCAAAAAAATAGGGTATGCATAAAATTGCAACAGATAATTGCAAAATCCAATGGACAACAGGTTATAATAAAATAAAAAATTGAAAAGGCGAAAAATCAGAAATTCGAAAAATTGGTAAATCGGAAAATTGAAAAGTCGAAAAAACAACAGTTAGTTACCTATATTTAATAAAAACTTTCCATTCTACACTTAACTTTTATTTAATAAAGAAACCATAATGGTCGTGGACAAAGTATAGTATTAGACTCGCAATGTATGGCCATTATTCACTCGGGTGACTAATGGCTACCATAAATTGCTCGTTTAATAATATACTATAATCCTAACAATGCTCAAATATATGGTTTCCAAATTTTTCATTAAATGTTCATCCAAATGGGTATAATCCGAAAGAATTTGGAGATAATAGCCTATTTTTACCTTTAAACACTGGACTATTAAAATAATGTTAGTGACTGTAAATAACCATTTTTTTAAATACTTACCTTTTTTAAAGAAATTAGGAATACTATTTAACTGAGGTAAAGTAGAAGCACAAGTTCCATGTTTAGTCCATTCATGCCTCCAAAAAGAATATTTTTCTGAGTTTTTGTGGACATTGGTCCACTGAGCGTCAAGCTGATCCAAGAAAGGGTTCAGTTGTTTAGGATCAAAATGTATAGGAGAAGGGCAAGAAAAAGGTCCTTTTGTGCCTCGTTTTGTTGGCCAAATTCCATGTACTATCCATTGTCGTCTATCTATTGGAAGATGACAAGTGTTTTTGGCTTTAGATTCTTTCCATTGTGTACAAGTAGTTATTGGCCAGCTTTGTGCAAATATTAAGTAGTCCCATTCGTAGGACCTAGTGGGAGTTGGATTTGAAGCACTGGAAATGAATGTTTTTAATATTAATAGTTTAAAATATAAAAGATTGTTTTTCCTATCTAAATAAAAATATATCTTAAGGTTAGTAACAACATGGAGTAAAAAAATTGAAGATAAACATTCAAAAATACATGGAACCTACCCCACAAGACCAGCTTTTAGCAATGTTTGGAATGCAGAGCTTATTTCATATTCAATAATTTTCATTTACAAAATAGTACACCATTTAATTAAATGCCCTGCTCTTTGTGCTCAGCTTAACTTTTTTGTGCCTAAAAATCAATTCTAGGCAGAGCTGCGCATTCATTCTTCCGGCGACGCCCAGAATAAATTTACTATGTCAGTCTCCATTGCATCGTATGCTGTCCACGGTTAATGACAAGTGGAGATATTGATTTATTTTGTACTAGCATTTCAAATATTAAAAATCTCTATTGATCCTTTATAAAATAATTTATATGTGTATATTTTCTTGTTTGTAATGTTCATTTTTCATATATTTTATATTCTAGCTTTGTTTCAAATACATTATGTGATTAATCTTTTTTCTCCACTGAAGTTTTTTTCAGATTACTCACACAACTTTATAATGTGTTTTTCACTATTTGTTGTATTACCCATAATGTTTATTAATGTATATTGCGCATTCTTTAATGGGCCTTGGCCGTTGGATGTATGATTAAATAAATAAATAACAATGAGTTGTATTAAAAAAACATGCTAATGCCTAGCTTTAGTATAGTATCTAGTTACCAAATAAAATTATTGATAAGTGTGTATAGGTAAACCACAAATAGTAAGAATCCCATTTAATTATACTTGTCTTTTATTTACACAAATTTCTTTGGTATAAACTCTTGGAAATACTCTAAAAATGTAAAATGGATGAAACAAAAAGCTACTAGATTTTGGCACGTCATAGATCAATTACATCATGTTATTGTCAGTTGGCAAATATCAAAATAATTTTGAATTCATCAGTTTTAGTGAAAAACCAAAAATCAATAGGTACTATTAATTTTCTTAGTCTTGAAACTTAATAAAAAAATACTTTTCCTGATGATTAGATAGTACTTTGTTAATGTAAACCGGATACTCCACATATAAAGTGATAAGTTTCATCAATGTTACACATTTGCAATAACTATGTAGGTATATATACCACAAATGTTATTGATTAGGATTTGGAATACCAATAATGTTGATATTACTTATTTTATATTATACAAACATTATGAATTAGCACAGTGTAAGCATAATCTTATTGATAAGGTTTTCATAGTAATTTTTATTGATTGTACTTTGCTCTACATATTGTATGTGTTCATATACATCAGAGTTGGGTTGGATACAGGAAAAAAGTGTCTAGTACCGGATACGGATACTTACAATGTAATATACTTTCACCTAAATAGTACTCAGATACAAGTATCCGGATTTCATACCAATAGTTACAATTATGCAATAAGATTGATTACGAGTAACAATAAACAATACTAGGCATAAATAAATTGAAAGCGATATAATAGAAACAGGAAAAAACTATTCAATAAAATTGTTTATTATTTTTATTCTGTGATTATAAAACATTAAAACAAAATGAACAATAAAACAAAGGTGCGTGTAAATAAGACGAGTCGCGCCTGAACCGCGCCAAAAACACCAGTCAGTGTCGTGTCGATATAAATCTAACGAAATAAGCTCGTTGTTGGCGCGACTTGCCATGTTTATACAACCTTTCGATATTCTCTTCAGTGTCAGATGTATTCGATAATCCATTTTTTGTGGAGTCTCCGATGAGCGGTACTTGATGATAGAGTCGAAAGCAGGAGAAGTGAGAGATTGCTGAATGTTTCGTTCTGATATAGGCAAAGCAGGCTCGTATATTTTATCTTGTCAGATCTGTATACTTTATTGATATTGATGACGACATAAATAACACATGATCAGTTACATTATGAGCAACAACGTCACACATGTATAAGTTATGAGTACCTATTTATTTAATAACTTATGAATTTGTTATTTTATTTTTCGACTACATTTTAAGAACTAATAATGTAATTAGACATTTTACAAAACAAAAAAATTCGAGGTACCTACACCTACTTACCTTTGCGTATAGTTAGGCACTAAAACTGATACAAAAAGTTTAGTTATATTGCACTATATAAAAACACAGGAACAACCGTCTCTTGTCTTTGCCAACTGAAACATAACTGGTCTAATGGAACCTCCACAAGTTCGTGACGCTAACACCGGACAAGAGTTTGCAGGATTTTTTTCTGTAAAAACGTGCCACAAGATGCTGAATCCCGACTGTCTGTATACTGGGTGAATCGTCGAATTCATCCTTGGAGATGAGAATTTTTTTGCCTAATTTTAAATTTTACAGGGTGCACCAAACAAAACTACAAATCATAATAAAATTATTATTTTATTATTTTTTATTTAAGTATAATATTGAAAAATACGTATTTGATTTCTAATTATGCAGGATAGCTCAAAGTATTTCGATTATATATTTTAAGGGGGTCCTCTAGTTTCTCGGTTGTTTTTTACGACTTTTTCAATAATTTTTTACGGGCAAACCATCGAAATAACAAATGTCATTGTTCTTACATAATCTTAATTAACATTTAAATGAGCTTTACAAATTTTTTGAAGACAAAATATATAATAGAATCAAAGTTATAGTGGCCGACAGGAAGACATCAAGTGAAGGAGGTGCTTGACGGTGACCAAGTCTGCGGCTGTTTTGCTTATTTGAAATCAAAAAACCAAACGGCATTTTAATCTTCATATTTAAGACTAGCGATTGAACCAGAATGAATTCTAAATTACAAAAATTAATTTTTTTATACACTTTTGAAAATTAAATTCTATTTTTTACTAATTTTTTCTTAAGTTTCTCGCTCGTAGAAAAAAAACTATCAAAGCAATCATGATAATCGTAGTTCAATCGCTGGCTTATAATATATTAAAGATGTCGTATAAATGTGAACAATATTGGTGCAGTAGTTTCTGAAATATCGTGGTCACCGTCCTTCACTTGATGTCTTCCTGTCGGCCACTATAACTTTGATTCTATTATATATGTTGTCTTCAAAAAATTTGTAAAGCTCATTTAAATTTAAATAAAGATTATGTAAAAACAATGAGGTTTGTTATTTCGATGGTGGCCCGTAAAAAATTATTGAAAAAGCCGTAAAAAAAACAACCGAGAAACTAGAGGACCCCCTTAATAGAGATAATATGGATTGGATCAGTTACGATTGTAGTAAATAATTTAAAAGTATCCGAATGCCGAAAAAAGTATCTGGATACTACTCACAAATTTGGTCACGGATACCGGATACAGCTTTCGGGACACATAAGGTATCCGGATACTACCCAACTCTGACATACATGTGCAATACGTTTCTTTATCACACTTATAGAAATCATGTGCAATGCTTTTCGAGAAATAATAATCGCTGCAACAATGAACAGGTACAAAATACTCCTAATCTATGTTTGGCCATTGAATATTTTATTATTATGATAAAAGAGATACACGTTATGGAAGGAGTACAACATAAACTATGAAATGTATGGTGTCTCAAAATTAAAGTTGAATTTTATATTTTTATTCTAAAACAAGATGGGTTTTCTTACCTTATACTAAACCAGATTGTCAACAAAAATATGAAAATGGAAGTATTCATATTAAAAATTTCAAAACAGATATTAAAATAATACTTAATGTAGTGTCGTTACTTTATATACCATAGCAATACTTTATCTAAACTTATCTTTATTTAAAACATACTGTTCAAACTCATAACAATGAAAATTTAAATGTACTAAATAAAATACATGATTTTTGCATAAAAAACAGATATTTGGAGGTATTTTTTCAGACTTCAAACAGAAGTGGACCGAATCGATAGTGGGAGAAGCAGTGGCAGCACTGGCAGGGAAAGTTTGGGGTTTGGGCAATAAGCACTGAACTCTATGTTCAGTGGCAATAAGTAATTGGGTTTGGGAGCCTGTTAAGCAATATCAGTTCCAAGGTAAGCATTATTTGAGGTAAGCAAGCATCTTACAAGTACGAATTTTTTTGTCTGCCTTCAAATATACAAGAGGTATATTCATAATCCAACGCAGTGTCAAAATATTTTCTAGTGATAGAACGATACCGATATTGATGTAGGTATATCGGCAGTTGTTGCAGATTATCAGTATCGTATCGGCAAAAAAATGCGCTTTTCACTGTTTACAGTGCATAAATGAAATACTTTATTAAACAAAATAATTTTTTTTATTCTAAAGGTAATATTTTTACTAAAAAAATAAAACAAATCCTATACACTAACAACAAATATACCTAATGTAGCAGGTACTAAATACTTAAAATTTAATTTATTGATATTATGATGCAAAAACACCAACATTTCAGTCCTATCTGCATTTAGTCTATTTCTTTTAGGATCATAAATATTACCTAATTCCCTAAAAAGTAGTTCACTTGACACTGCCAGCGGGTGCTGAAAGGTAGACTGAAGCTGCGTTGTACAAACTTTCTGCCTCCCACCACTCAAAACATTTATCTTTTAATAGAGTTGAAGATGCTAAATATTATTTCATTTTTACATCATTGCTTCATGTATTTTGTAGTACTGATCTCGGAAGCCGAAGTAGAGGCAATGCTGTAAAAAGTTTCCCAAACTGTATTTTGCTTATTTTGTAAAGGGTTTAAGAGAATATTATCTTCATCTTCCAAAGATTCTGGATCCACTTCAGCTACTGTATATTGCCTTTTTATTATATTTTTAATGAGATAATGTTTGTTCTTTAGTATCTTTTTATCTCCTCTAATTAATAGTCAAGTTTAAAACGCCGTGTTTTAAAGCACTGCAGAATATAATGGGCTTCCCCGAAATATCACTAACTATATTTTTAAAACCAATATAAGTCCAATTAAAAATACAGTCAAAAGTTTCTACAAACTCTACTGTAAAATTTTGTAAAATGGACTTAATACTCTTTGGCTCTAAGGTCCAGAAATACTTAATGATTATTTAGTGTGTGTAAAAGTAATTTATTGTACCTGGCTACTAATAACCAAGTCTAATGAAACAAAAATTTACTAACTTTATTATTTGAGGATCAAAATTGAGGAAAAATAAAACATCCCAACAATTCAAATATTTAAATATGTGTTTAATTATACAGAAAACCAAATGAGAAATTTTAAAAATTTATATGTTTCCAAAAGTGAGTGATGGTCTTCTGCAGATTGCAATAAATTATCTATATAATCCATTTGATAAGAAATACCATCAGAGGGGATAGTATCTAAGTACATAACTGCCTTCTTTGAACTACAATTGGTGATAACATTGGTACTATTATTATTAATTGGATGTGATTGATCACAATCAATGACTTCTAGCGATTTATCAAAACAAATTCGTATTTCACTGATCATCGATTCTTTTGTGTGCGAATCAATAACACATTCGATCATGGGATTATGTTTTGTTACGGCTTTAACTGCATTGGCTATTTGTTCTACATTGTACCTATTTTGCCCTGGAATAATTTTACTTTGTGTTAATATATCTGCAAGATTTTGGACCTTGTTCCACTCTAAACCTAAAACATAAATACAAATATTTTATATAAGGATTTAATAAATTCCGAGTTTAGACAGTTTAGCCCGTTCTACCATTCACATTCAAAAACATAATTCCGAACATGAGCTCATAAAATCACTCAGCGAATTTGATGTGAAGAAGTCAGTTTAAAGATCTACGAGAAGCGGACGTCAGACACCAACAAAATGCATATCGGAGAATATACAGGTGAGTACATTTAACGCGGTTACTACTCATAAATAATCAAACAGTATTAGTACACTCATTGTAAAAAAATGGGTCACGTCGAATCAAATTGTTGGTATTAAAAGAGAAAATCTGAATTCGACACGTTATTTATTATACGGTGAACAAGCTCAGTCGTTAAAATTCTTTATCGATAGTGGTGCTGACAGGTCAATAATTAAACAATCTGTAGTAAAAACATTAAAAAGAACGACTAGGATAGCTGACGAAAATGAACATGTTTTTTTGGTACTCAAGTTGTTTAGAATATTGGTATTTGTTATTTTGCCGATCATCATGTTAGGGGTCGTTTCAAATAGTATGATTCCAGATGTTGATATTATTATTGGATGCAATGTCGACCTTGTTGACAAAAATGTTAACGGGATTGAGTTACATCAAGACCTACTCAACATTCCGAAAGTGTTTACAATAAAAAATTAAACGATATGAAAATTAATCAATTAGAATTAAGAGTGGAGAAACTTTTAACATTATACAAGAATAAAACTCCTAACTGTTGAAATGTTACAATGATGATACTAGTTTTTGTTTTAACACTTTGTATGGTAGTTAGCCTAGCCGTTTTGAAAAAATAATAGTTTTGAGAACTGTAAATTTTGATAAATACTTATTCGTTATTTTCCTAATTGTGTTTCTACCGGAAAAATGTCAATAAGATTAAAATACAATACTAGCGTATCCATCAAAACAGAATTTAGCTAAAGAAAATTATAAACAGGAAATATCCGCAGAAGCCACTCAAAATGATGATGGATGAGGTTTTCCGCGTTTTCCTCCACTGTAAATCAAATGCCACCATCAATCATCTTCAAGTCGCCCCGGACCGCCACGGAAAATAAAATAATAGCCGTTCCATCCCCCACATAAGCTCAGTCGGCTTCAGAGGTTGAAATTCACTCGTAAGGGGGCGATTTAAGGAGAGTATTATTATTATTATTATTATTATTATTATTATTATTATTATTATATTATAAAATATGCAAGTATTATTGTGCTAGTAAGCAAAAGAAAGTATTGAAGATAAAATTAATGGTTTTTGTATGGAGAAGTATTTTACCACGTTAGACATGTGGTCAGGCTTTTATCAAATGGAAAATGAAGAAAGTTCCAGACACATAACTTCCTTTGTCACTCGACCTGTTGCATACTAAAGACGTCGTACGACTGATTGTGAATCAAGGCAACATTTTTACAATCTAGAGATTCTTGCTATATTGAGTATAGTGGAAGCGGTTGAACACTTTCGTGTGTATGTATCTGTACAATGTGCATTTTGTAGTATATAGACTGTAATTCGGTTCGAGAAACAGCTATATAGAATTATATCCGCGCATGGCGTGGCGCGCTGATGTTTTAAGTTGCAGAATTACAACTTTTCTATTGAGTACTACCCTGGATATAAAGTGTAACATATATGCCGCGTTTGAGAATCCACATCGGATGCATTTTTTACATCTCGAGCGTTTTTTTATCCACATCGGACACATCTACTACATCTACATCTGCGTTTGTTTATCCCAGATGTACCTGTTCAGATTACATTTTTTACATCTCGATTTGAAATGAGATGTGAATCAGATGTTCGTTCCATGCCAGAAAGTAAGTGTTCTGTGAAGCCTTTTTTGTCAATTTATCCTTTGTTTATGCTAGCATGAATATAAAAGTGATTAGTTTGTTTAATTTTTGTTAATATTTCAAATTTAGGTTGATTTGTAATCTCAAAAGTAAAATTTAATAAGTATAAACTTCTAACTTGTCATTGACATTTTATCACGTGACCAAATAAAGTCTAGAGCGTTTGTTTATTACATCTACATTCAGATCTAATTCTCTATCACGTGATAAAAAATTCACAACATCTCAGATGCATCCGATGTGGATTCTCAAACGCGGCATTTGACTATTAAAGCGAAAAAACAATAAATATAAACAAAATCACCGATAAGTGTACACTCCGAGATTTCTAGCACAGTGATACCTTTTATCATCAGATAATTAATAAGCCGGTCTTTGACACCTATATGTCAAGAACTTAGAACATATATAGTCAGGAAGGAGCATACCATGTCCGCGTTAATCTAATTGATCTGACGGAAGTGGTAGCCATGTTGTACTATGGATGACTCATCATATGATAAATGGTTTCTAAAATTGGTTTATAATTTTAGTGATTAAAATCTGTTAATAGTTTGGGTGTTTTATGTGTTAATTTAAACTTTTATCAAGCGTATGTTTTGTAGACATTTTTAAAATGTGTTTAGTGTAACTAGTGAACATGTGTTTGTGTTACAATATTAATGTTAATAAAATAATGTTAAAATCTGTTTATTTTAGTAATTATTTTTGTGTTTCTTTTTAATTTGAGTTAGAATAAACGGTTTTTTGTTAGAATATAGGTTTTTGTTAATATGTTTGTGTTAAAATTTAAAATATAGTTTGTGCAAGAAACAATACTGTTTTTTAATTAAATAATTAAATTTTAAAAATGATATATATATATATATATCGGATATATATCATGTGATATGATATTTATATAAATATCATGATATTTTCGAACCCTGTAAGCAAGTATTTTGTTCTCTTAAAGGCTAGTTCATGTAGATGCGAATCGCGAATTGCGAAATTCGCAAAAAAATATATTGTTTTTTTATGTCAATGCATGTACCTGCGAATGTTTTGACAGGATTCTGGGATATTTATTATTTTCACTAAAACATATTCGGCAGTTGGTATTATTCCTCAACAATACATAACCCTATATAGTTCAGTGACATAACCCCGATTCGTGTCTGCTACCGATAAATAGTTTTATAAAATAAAATGAATGACGAATACGATAATGAATTAGCTTTATTTATTGTTAAAAAATACATATTA